ATAACACTAACCTTTGCCACACGTTTCGGGGGGCTTTCTTTTGCAACATCTAGAAGTCGTTTCGTAGTTTTTGCACAGGTAGAGTCATTGGCGTCAAGTTCTGATTTTTTCTCGTTTTCCAACAATTTATTTCCAAAGTTTTCGTTCACGTTTGAATACAAAGTGTAGGTTTTTTCACGACAATTTCCTGAAATTTGCATCTGACAAATATCGCATATTAAATCACAGTGATATTGATTGAGAGAAACAAGCCCATAAGTTTTGTAACCTACCATATGCCATCTTTCGATGATACAAGACCAATCTGCTTTGTCATTAACTACCTGTATTTTTATAATTTAAAAATTGTTAGAGCATACTTATTGAGGTGGGAGATGAGGTACATAATGATGGGATGAGTGTTGGGAATGTAATAACCGCAATCAGTAAACCCGACTGAAGCTCCCACAACACTACTATGTCCGCAATGTTAGGAATGTAACAACCGCAGTCAGTAAACCCGACTGAAGCTCCCGACAACATTACTAGAACGAGGATGATATTTTTTGACACGAATGCCCTACACGGAGAAAATGATAGTTATACTTTCCTCAATATTCAATATCTTTGCAGTTGAATCGAAACGCTTTGCCCATGCACCCTCCAGTCCTAGAAGGTCACTTGTTTGAGTAGATGATCTGGCTACAAAGTCAACGTTCAAACGAACAAATTCTGACAAAGAAGGGATAACGTTCTGATCTGATGCCCACGTGAAATATGACTTAAAGACTGAAAATTTGATATTGTATTGGTAAGTAAATGTAGAAAGTCGCGTCAGTTTCAGAAAAACGTGTACTTGCCATCGAAACCATACGGTTTTTTCTTTTGTTGGCTCATAGTAGGGGAGAGAGTAAACAAATAGACAAATTACAACTAGGAAACGGGACCGTTGCGAGTCCGGAGCAAAAAAAATTGTTGGATTAAAATCACAAGTCGTGACCAGATCCCGTGACTGATCAAATTTTCACTTTGCATAGGAAATATAATGTCCCTCCGCTACGACTGTACCAGGATGTAGGTGACTTTTTTAGATCACGTGATTATCCGATCTGATCACCTGATTAACGAACTCACCGATCCATTCCCGGAAATTAATATGTACGAAG